AAGAGTTTGATTTTTTTTGGAAAAGAGAGTAGAGTTAGAGATTTATGATTCCATAATCTGAGTTTTGGTTTAATGGTCATCCTCTATCTCAATTAATGAGGGTTTAGAGGACCTAATTGATATTTTGACTTACCTATAAAGTTCTCTTATTTGGTTTAACACATGCCTCATTTATATATATTATACTTTTTTATTTAAAAAAGTTGAGTTTGGAACAACTTAACGTAGACAGGAAATGACTCATCTCTCTTACCCCTTTGGCTACCATCTAGGTGATTTGAAAGGCCATGAATAACAGAGTGCCTGAGGGCATGATGTTATGACTCTATGCAAACGGTGGTTCGGGCTGGTCTACCGGTGCACGAAGAAGAGTCTAGAATACCATATTAGTTTTTTTTTGTTTTATGCCCCTGTTAGTACTTCTAATTCTAGGAATATGTAATAAAGCAGACGAACTGTTTTACTAAATGTAGGAAGTCAGATCGGTTGACGTAGTTTTTATTAGTTATTAGATGATTAATATTATCAAAGAAGTAACTGGTCTTTACTGGCCCTTGTATTCTTGTATGGTTGGGTGGGTCTGCAGCACAAAAAGAAGAGTCCAGAATATCTAGTTCTGGTGTTTTGGTTTTAAGCTCTGTTTGTTAGTATTTTTAATTCTAGAATTATGTAACAAAGCAGTTTGTCTGCTATCTGCCTAGAGCAGTTTTCCATGTAAAAGGTATAGGAAGTTAGGATAAGTTGAAGTAGTTTTTCTTTATTAAAAGACAGTTACTACTGTCAAAGAAGTAACTTGTTTTTTAGGAGCCCTTATTCTGTTTATATACCAGAACAGTGGATTGGCTAAGTAAGAAGAAATTTTCATTCAGTTTATATTTTTGTTAATGAGATCCAAGGGTTCTTTTTAATAGGCAGATTGGAACCCAATCTCGTTTAAGAAACAAAGATCCAGACAGTGAGGAAAATTTGTTTCTAAGTTGTCTCATGTACTCATATTAGAGAAAAAAAGTTTGAATGAGAAAAGTCAACTGATAAGCCAATCAATGTATGCAATGTTGACAGTGTTCAAGCCTTTATTCATTTATAATGTAATCAAGTTACAGTATTGCTTATTACTTTAGGTATTTGATCGGAAAACAAGGAGACTGGTGGAAGAATTAATTGATGGAAAGATTGTTTTGTCAATGAGAGCCATCTACCAGTCAAAAGTGGGGCTGCAGCTTATGGACAAAGGTATCTGCTTGCTTTATCAACTACATTTTCTTTTTAATTCAAGAAATTTGAAGCTGCAATGGGAGACAGTGAAGTTTGACCAAGGGTTTTGAGGGCTTACTTATTTGGTGTTTATAAGCAGTTTTAAGTATCTCTGCTTCAATATTCACATTTGGTAACATAAGAATCAGACGTTTATCATGTTCTTAAAAGTGATTTTATAAGAATAGAAAATAAGTAGCATAATCTAAACTTTTTAGGTTCTTATTTTTCATATATAATTAATTTACCCAATTACCTTCTTGATATCCTCTTAAAACTAATATAATATACATAACATAAAATAAGATAGAAGATTTGTAATATATATAGTATTTATTTTTTTATAGAAACAACCCTTTAGTTTCTTCCCCCTTCTTTTTGAGAGGTTAAGAAGGATGTTTTATTCTCTAATTGTTTTTTTCATTGATCCCTTTCTAATAAAGATTCTTTTCTAATAAAACATTACAATCAACACTTTCTTGAAATGATTAACTAATCTTTTAAAGAAGAATTTACCTGCTTTAAAGCACTCTATTAATTCACGTACATCTTTTTCACAATCCCAAATACCCTCCATCGTAGTTACCAAATAATGGGTCTTCCTTATATAGTTGTTTTTTTTTGTCTCATCCAAACTGTATCATATTTTTTATTGATTACTTCTCAAGTTGCATTGTTTTCTTTAGAGGCTGTGTTTCAATGTCTATTGCTACTTCATAAGCAGCTTTGGAAATGCTTTAGCATATGCATTTGGTAACATAAAAAGGGATAATTATTAGGTTCTTAAAAATGAGTTTAAAGAGGTAAAAAAACAAGCACTATATTTTTTACTAGTTTGTTTCTTATTTTTCTTATCTAATCAATTTACTCAGTTACCTTCTTGATATCCTCTTAAAATTAATACCATATATAATAACATAAGTCATAAAGTATTTAGAGTAGATGATATATTTTAATGATTTTTTACAATAATTAATTTTTTTACAATCAGTACTTTATTCAGACATGTAACTGCTTATTTGTTAAATAAGAATTTACTTATTTTAAGTAACTTAAAAAAATACATATATATTTTGCTTTAAGTGCATTTTCAGCAATCCCAGATACTTTCTTAGTTATCTTACAACTTCGAACATATTTAGCGACGCTTATTTGGACTCTTCATTTTGTGGTGTCTTATCTCCATCTGATTTACCTTTCAGAAAACCTCTAAATGAAAGGCTATTCCATTTTTCAAAATCATTTGTGCTGTTAATAATTGCTGATTTATCCTCTGCATTAATCAAGACACATATTACTATCTTATTTCAACAATTTGTATGAGTCCCCCTCTTTGGGGTGCATAATTTATCATTATAAATGATTTTTTCTGTTTTCTTTTTTCATAGAAGTGCTTTTTATATTTAGCCTCGTAATTGAGGATATTTTTATGCCTGATTGCACTCAGTATCTTAAAAAATCAATGTAATATTCATATCATTAGTTCAAATATATATATTTTTTGAAATAAATCATTAGTTCAAATATATTTACAGTCTCTGCCACAAATATCATCTACAATTTAAAATCTGGTGGCTTTTTGGACGCAGGGGCAAAAGAAATATTGCAGAATGTCTCTGAAAGGCAGGGAAGAAAAATGAATTCAGTTGAATCGGCCAAAGATATACCAAAGTTTGTTGAGTTTTTCAAGGTATGAATAGTTCTCTCTGCATATTTGGTGTTGAAATTCTACCACGAATTTGATATGTTTGTTCTTCATGACATATTTTAAGCCTTAACTGAATAAAAATTTCCTGAAGTAGTTGCAGAACTTTTGTATCTTACTGCTAGTTTGACTTTATGTTCTTTTTTGGGCTTACACCTACAAAAATCATCTAAATCCTGAAATTTATGTAAAGTAGGGGTTTTTTTTTTTTAATTTTTGTTTCAGGACCAAATCAATGTGGCTGAAGTCAAGTATCCTTTGGAATATTTTAAGGTAAGTTGAATCTCTGAAAAGGATTTAGGTTCCTATTTAATTTCTTAGCTGGATTCTCTATAAGTTTGTTTCTAGGCAATTGGGCTTTTAACCTTTTCCTCAACTTTGGGGAGGGTTTGGACTTTTATGGAGTAGCTGTGAAATTAAATTCATCTAACTAAGGAAAAAGGAAAAATGAAGGGAATAAAAATATATGTATATGTTTCTTGGTGCTTGCAGAATATATTATCATGGTCTTTTGTTTGTCCATCATTTTAGAAGTTCATTGTTACGGTCTTCTTTCTCTCCCTTTCTAAAAAAGGAAATGAAAGGCTTTCCTAGAGGTGGCAAAGACTTGAGCAATATAAATTCTTTATTTGGTATTGATATGAGCTTTTGGCACATAGTATATATATTAGTGGTCTGTGTCCATTCCTGGACTTGTCTAGTCACGATACAAACAACT